ATTTTTTTTAAACCCTATACAAAAAAATTTTTAAAAACAAAAAAGAGTTCCCTGGGGAAATAAACTTTTCTTTTCGAAAAATTGTTTTTTTCAAAAAAGAATTTTTTAATTTTTTATAAAAGGGGAACCCCAGGTGGGGGGTAATTTTTTTAAACAAAACTTTTAAATTTAAGGACCTCGAAATAGCTAAATGAAAAAAATTTTTAAGGGTCTTTTGGATTGGGACTTTAAACCCAAAATATGTAAATTTAGTAGGTTTTTAAGGGGTGGGAAAAATTTGAGCCAAAATGAAATGGGTTAAAATAAATTTTTTTCAAAGGCCACAAAGGGAAAAGGTTTCAAAAAAAAATATCCCCAAACTCTTTTTCATAGTAAAATTTTAAAAATTTTTCCCGTTTTATTTAAACCCTTTTTTAGGGTTCCCTTTTAGCTTTTTTATTTTCAACCCGAAACGATATTTTTCCCAAAAATTTTTTTAAGGTTTTTCCTAATGATCATATTTCCGGGGGGAAAGGGTTTTATTTTGGTTTAAATTTTGGGCCCGTTAAAAACCATATCGCAACACATTGGATCAAACACACATCACTTGCTTGAGCTAAGAGATGCATAGACTCCAGATATTCGTACCCATAAAATCGACACAAACGATCATGTTGGGAAAAACGGAGGCTGCAATTCAAATGTCTCAACTCTTTAAAGCAACCAATCATCCGCAGTTGTTTGGAAGTTTTTTTTAAATATTAACTTTATGCATCCAAGACCTATTCTTATTATGATTGACATTTTACTAAATCCAAGTCGACGGATTCATTTGCTTTCTTATGTAGGTTTTTATCTATGGTTTTCGAAACTAACATTATTTTATCATTTTCGGACATTTTATGTTTTTATTTAATATCTCTAAATTAAACATGCATACTTTTATTTGATTAAATGAATAAGAAATGAAACATATTTTATGCCTTCCATTTAAAATTGTGCATGATTTTTTCGGATTTTCCACAATCAAATTTTAAGATTTTTTTAACAAAAAGGATTTTGGTTTAAAGGTTTTTAAGTTTCATAATTTTTCAGGGGGGGTTTTGCTTTAAGCGCCCGTATTGCACAATTTGTCTTGGGAAAATATGAAAAGTGAAAGAGAAATTATGTTTTTTTAATTGTTTAAAAAATTCTTGTTCAATTTTAAAAAAGGAATATTGGGGACAAAAATTTTATATGCTTTTTTTTTGTTTTAAAAAATTTTAAAATTTATAAGATTTTTGGTATTTCTGGAAATTTTTTTCGAATTCAATTTTAAAAACATTGTTTTTTAAATTTTCTAAAATTTTGGGCTGCAAAAAACTTGGGGGGAAAATATAAAAAAAATGAAATTTTGTTTTCGAGTTTCAAATATTTTTGTTAAAGTTTCTTTCATTTTTATATCAAGAGAGTCCTTAATTAAAAAAAACAGCAAGGCATTACAATGACATATGTCCTCAATAATACAAATTTTGTTATTACCGAGCAAGTTCATAAATTGCTTAAAAAACAAATTATTTCAATACATCTGTTTAAAACCTTTAAAACGTATAAGAAGACAGTTATTATTTTATATATTAATATATCGAGATTTTGGTAAACAGGACGAAAAAAAACTTGATTTACAGGAACTGTGAATATAAAAATTGCATTTTCTCACGTGACAGATAGCTACTTCTAGCTGCTGATGCCATTATATTTTATGTCGGTATAAGATATGAACAAATGGGATGGAAACCTCCAATAAAAGTGAACAAAAGAAATGAAAACCAAATTTGGATATTCACAGCTACAGAACCCTCGGAACATTACTAATAGAGACTATTTATCCCCTTTATGGCACAACACAATGAACTGGTCTTCATTGTATCAATTAGATTCCAATATTCCTATTCCATACGGTTCTCTAATTACGCAGAGGAATGAAGTTAAAATGGGATACGAATCAGCGTTCAATGTTAAAATCAAAAATGCACTTTGGTTTTTAAGCCATTGTCAAGTTTCGAGCGAAAAAAGGCTTTACGTAAACGAAATGATTCGATATGGATTTGATATAGATATATTAGGTGGATGTGGCCCTGATGGAAGGAGAATAAAATTTGAATTAACAATTCTAATGTATAAATTTTACTTACCCTTTGAAAATTCATTATGCAATGACTATATAACGGAAAAATGGACAATGTAAAAAAGCTTCTGATTTAAAACATATTATTACCATTTTACAAAGTAAATGCTACTCTATTGTTTTGCTGACATTTTTTAATAAAAAGAATAAAAAGAAAAGTTCATATAACTACACTGAAATTCAAACAACTAAGATATTTCTGCAATCGCTACAGATTTTATTTTCAGTAAACACATTTTGTTCAAGTAATTTATGCATTCGCTCTGGAACTTATTCTCGGTAAACACATTTTGTTTAAGTAATTTATGCATTCATTTTTTACGTTTACGTTATTTGCACATTCCTGCGTTACTGAATATGCACGGTGATATGTAAAAAATACAAATCTGTATATCTCAAAAACACGGTTCTGTATATGCACTGTATATCTATAGTATACTAGAGGAAATGACCTTTTTATTTCCGTATACTACAAAAAATACGAACAAATATACGTACATGTATATGTACAAACTTTGACCTGTCCATGTGACTTTGGTAGTAAGAACCTGGATTATGTGCACAATAAGCCTCACAATGGTGAACTTTTGTGTCAAGTTACACGGTATAAAACACTATAGAATGCTTAATTATCCTTGATTCCATCGAAAACAAAAGCAATTAGCCGAGTCTGGATTGAAAAAGTTGTTTTTGAATACATAATATAGGCCTACAATAGTATATTGTTTTGCTTACCCTACACATATCTGATTCAATTTTCTTTAGACCGGGCGTTCAAGGATAAACAATGGAAGTGCAAGCACTTATTTCGAGATTGGTCCTCACCTCAGGGAACACTTGAGACAGATAAATGCTTATACGGTAAGGATAGTTAGAAAGTATTAAAATTGGGAAAAAAATGTTTTTGGAAACAAAGTATAATATTTATATAATATAAAAAATCAACATAAACTAAACATTTAAAGAAAATTAAATTGTATACATATTAACATGTACAACACATAGGTATTAAAACTAGACTAAACACTTAATATGATTAATACCCCGCAAGACTTAGTCTTTCGTTCTCATCCTTTTCTTTGAATATATTATATATTTGTATTCTGATTGTATTGTATTATGTATATCATGTAAATTTTCGGAAAAATAAAAATGTTTAAACTAAGACTGCTGCAACTTTTGTAATATTGACATCATTTAAATTAAGTAAAGATTGAAAGATTGTCATATAAAATCAATTGTGCAATAATTAATTCCACAACTATATATATAAACAAAGCAAGAAGCTTATATTATTTAACAATAGCACCACGATGGCACTGAATCGCTCACCAGAAACAACCGTTTCTCAATGTTAGAAATAAACAGCTTATTTTATAGATAAATGTCCATCATAGGTTTATGATTATAGATCCTTAATGCTCAACCTGAGTTAGCTCAGGTGAGCAAAATATCAGTTAACCAAAACAATATAAAAATTAATCAAAGACCGAAAAGGCCAGGTTGCATGTGTATACCAAATATCATGAGGCTTTGATGTAAGAAAAATGTTTATCATTGATCATCAATGTAGAACATTTAAATAAATCAGTAAACAGGAAGTGGATCAATGACAGATCTGAAATCGAATCCCACGATATTGGACCACTTGTTAATGCTACTTGCCACCTATCAAGAAGTTGTGATAAGTAGTTGCTGAGAAAATTGTTATGAACATTTTCTATAATTGGCCATAAATGTCAAAATTGTAACTAAGTTGGTAAACAGGAAGTGTTTGAGCAAAAGTTCTGAAATCAAATCCACGGTATGAGACCACATGGTTATGCTGTATACCAAATATCAAAAAGCTGCGCTAAGTAGTTGCTGAGAAACCTGTTACGAAATATTTTTACCATTCACCATTAATGTAAACATTTAACTTAGTCGGTAAACAGGAAGTGGATAAACGACAGACCAACGGTATGGGACCACTTGTTGATTTTGTATGCTAAATATCAAGAGGCTGCGATAACGCCGATAAGTACTTGCTGAGAAATATGTTAACAGCCTCCAGAATAATTTTGCAAATCCGGAATTTTTGCAAACTCAACTACTCCGTTCAATATAGTTGATTTTCAAAAAGTTAAATCAAACAGTGTAATATGGATAAAAATAGACAATTATTATTTGCCGATTATATTAAGATAACACAATAATTATCGCAGGGCAAATGTGTCCTCCCATGGATAGTTTCCATTCCCAAACTTGGTTTAACGTGTCTCATGAGGGCTCCATTTGGGTTTACACCCCATTTTTATGAAAAAGGAGAATAAAACCGTGGGAGGAAAAAAAACTTGTTTCTAAAGATTTTTTACATGGGTTGAATATATTATACTTATAATAAACTTATAATTGACATTACGCCACCTGTCAATCAAACTGACCAAGCCTCCGCCGATAAGCCATTCAGCGATCGATATCTGTTCACACTCCCGGAACGCTTCGGTTCCATCCAGCCTCCGCCATTTTCCTTAGACAAGCTACTTGTCTAGGATAACTAGCAACGGATTAAATTCTATAGAAAATATATTGATTTCTGGTAAATAAATATGGTGAAACGCTGCCAATGGGGGTACATGTAATTCGGACAGCAGATATCCCGACAGACTAAAGGATGGAATTTATTTTATTCCATTTCCTAAGCCAAAAAGGAATTTAGAGAAGTGTCGTTGGTGGATCAAATCGTGCGGTCGTCCACACGATCAGTTAAATATCCAAAAGGTTGACGGAAACTATCAACTTTACGTATGTTCTAAGGTAAAATTTAGTTATATCTTACCCATTTTATACAAGTCTACAATGATAATCTGGTTTTAAGAAATCGATACTCGTCAAAGCCTGATTAAACAACTTTACGTTTATCATATTTGTATCTGGACATTGTAGAAACGTTTTGCTGACATTTATGTGCGTTTTCCATTCGTTTTGATTATAGTCAGACCAAATAAATTACAAACTATCATGCTATCACGGTAGATTTGTAGGTTAAATTCAAGGCTATATATAGCATCAGAACGTAAACATTGCAAACTGACAAATCAGAAAGCATCAAAAGCACATGTTCTTAGTAAACAAATCCATATATGGAAAACGGTAAACATGAGCAATTCTTTGACCTTGACATATCTGTCTGAATGGAGAACCGCTGTCAGGTGCAAATTGACATGTATTCAGGTACAAGACTAGAATTTAATAAACTTATGACAAATTCTATATGTATTATGACATTATGTCCAATACATTAAATAGTATTTTCAACCAATTTTTGCTACACAATATGAGCCATTAATGATTATCATTCTACATTTTAATGAACATTTTTTATTTGTTGTGTTTATGTTAGAACCTCAATCATTGTAAACAGTTAATAATTTAAATATAAGGGTCAGCTAACTGTGATTAGTTGGTGAAAATCTCATTGGATCATTGATGCCAGCACTATAACATGTTGACAATTGAGTACTGCTCAAGTCTGTGCTAGGGGGCCTGAGGGATGTTGCATTTATTCATTATCAAAACAGGTCTGCAATTTTCATGTAATTTTGTTGTGATAACCCTTCCAAGGAATCACTTTGTTTCCAGATTTATGTACTAGAAGGTTTATTTGGGAAAAGCGGGTTAAATTATATTGCAGTTTTAATGCAATAAATATCATAATTTCAGCATTTTCCAGAAGGGAAGCCGACGGAGAGTTTCCCAGATCCAGTGCAGGCAAGTTTTTCGGAAAGACTACTCAAGGTGACTCCTGTAAGACGACCACCAAAACGCCGCCCAGAATCAGAACCTCCAGTATCAAGGAAAAAGAGAAATATACTTTCAGAAATATTTTCCAGGTATCTATTTTGCATCAATGCATATTTAAAACAAATAAATTATAAAAAAAGATGTATTCACATGAAGTAAAACTGTTAAACATACATGAAAATAGTAACATCTTGATAATGCAGTAGTATTTAAAGTAAATTCCTGAGCATCAAATCTGAAGTATACATGTATGTAAATTCAATTTTGCTCTCAAAGTTCTAAGTGTTTTTGCATTTCACTTTTCATTATAGTGTCAACAATGAGAATATCAATGAACAGCACATAGATAACTCTTCACAGTCAACAAATGAATTTTGTGCTGATGTTTCTGTACAAACAGACTTTCATCAAGGTAATTAATTGTTTTCACTTACAGTACAAATTTACAGTAAACACAGCACAGTTTTGAAAGTAATGCTTCCATACTCTCCTTGTCCGCCTTAACTCTTATTACGCAAAAATCACACTTTGTGTAAGTCACAAAGTCACACCACTTTGCTCCTGACACAAGCAACTGGCCTTGAACTTGCCACCAGTAGTTATGGCCATTTTTCAACTAAACATTGCCATTTATTTCATGTAGGTGAAAATCTCTTTTCTCAAAAACATCACTTTCCATTGCCTCTCTTAATTTTAAGTCTCTACACCAGAAGGGACACTTAATTTCTAACAGGCCAGATTGACCATTGCAGCAGACTTTCCCATCTGGTGTAACAGCTTTACATAGAAGAGTGGATATTCACCATTAATCCACAGTCATGCACATGGTTTCCTGTCATTTTCATATATTGCATTGAAGCTACTGACTCTTTTGATAACCCATACTCTGTTGGACTAGATTTAAATGGTTTACTATTCAAAATACTGTCGACACACTTTTTATTTACATCACTCTTTCTGTTCATAATTTTCCCAAAATTAGAGGCTGTTAGCCATCTATAAACCAAATATGGTTTTGCTGTTGTTTTTTAACAGGATTCATGCCTTTACTAATTAAAGACCAGGACAATAAATTGTTAATTACCTGATGAGATAGTGTACTACTGATGTGCTGTGACCCATGAGTTGTATCTGTTGTACCAAATGGTTTGCTAGCCATATAGCCTAAATGAGTGTTATCCATTGACTGAAGGAGCTCTATGTCACTGTCAAGCACTTGTACTTTTCTGTAATGATAAATGCAAAATAGTAGCAATGAGAAATTAACTTAGAAACATTCAATACAATATGTTTATTTTAAGAAACTGGACTTAATTATTAGTATGTATTAACATATTTGTAGCTTATTTATTCGTAACACAAAGTCAATAATCAAAAATTTAATAAATACTAAATAAATGTAATTTTATACATGTTGTGTTTCTATCAGTATTTATCATATATTTATGAATAAAGCTTATTGCTTACTATAACCATTTGTTGAATGTGGGGACTGACTGTCATATGAGTAAACATGACACAGTAACACTAGAATAGCTGAACTCATGCCCCAAGGGTGGTGGTGAGGAAGACACCATAACCACTATGCCATTTTTCCCCTTTAAAAAACATACCTATTGTCAATAAATGTTGGAACTAGAGGCCGTCTCTTTCTACCCGTTATACCCGACCTTGACATAGTCACAGTGGACACAGGTTCAGGACAAATCCTTACACCACGTGGCCTATCCCATAGTTGAGGTTGACTGGTACAGGCAGGCCGGCTTGGAATGTCAATCAAACCTTCAGTTAACCAGTCGGTCAGTTTTAAAACAACTGCTAAAACATGGGAACATTCCCCAGATATACTGAAATTCATAAAGACATAAGTAATAATGAGTCATTACCTATTAATAAGTAGTATTTTACATTTAATAACTAATTGTTTATTAAAATTGAAAACGCTGTAATCCGGTGCAAGGAAGACCTTTCATAATCCCTACTGTATAAACTGACACATTTTTTTTACTCTCCTTGGATATATGACCCATAGGCTATATAAATGTTCACATCAAGGCTACCAGCATGTTCCTGACGTTAAAAACTGAAAATGTGTGTGTCGTTTAATTATATAATATAGGTTTATTCTGCGCAAAATTATAATCTATTCGGTAGATTTTTATGTTATATCCGGTATGCGACAGTAAACATGAACTGTGAAAAATTTCCCTAAAAATCATGGAAACATCCAAAACATATCGAATGAATCATTATAGAAATAGTGGATTGCATTGACAATAAACTTAATTTATAGTAAAGTATTTTACATTTTTAATGACTTCGTAAAAATTAAGTTTAATTACCCTGCTTTACATGAACAATGAGCGTCAGAGATGGATTTTTTCCCTACCGCCATGTTGATTGTATGCGGTTTCTCAGATTTTCTTTGTGAACGGAAAACTGAGGATTTCACATCAATAACCCCATCTCTTCCATGGAAAACCTTTACAGATGCAACATAACTCTCGTTTGCAAACTTTCTGCTCTGAATTCGTTGCCGAAGCGAAGGTTTATATAAGAGAAAATGCTCTCCAAAATCACAAGGTAAATGTCGTAAGCGAGCAGCCATATTGCGAAAGTTGTCTAAGGTTTAGAAAGACGATACCACGTGACTTAGTGGGCGGAGCGATCCTATCGTTGGCGTAATGTCAATTATTCAAGGAATATATCTAAAGAAATTTGCAATTGTCCCATTGACAGAATAACCTATTAATGAAATGGGAGAAATCTACAAAAAATAAAGAGATAAGTTGACAAACCTTTTCTATAAGTTTATATATCCGGCCTTTTTCAAATGAAAAAATGTCTGATTATTAATTATTTACTTATTTTTTATTTGACTTTCTTTTATTCTATTATTGATATATTAATTTATACATATATATTTATTTATGTATTTATTTATTTCTCTATTTTTTAATCATTTATTTATTTCTCTATTTTTTCATTTAATGCGTTATTGTGATTCATTCTTATTGGATTTAATTGCACATATATAAACATTTACAGAGAAAATCACGCGAGCACCACCATTGTTGTACATTTTTATATGCGTGACTAAGTGACTAAAAGTATTTTAGGACCCATACACTTTTCTTGACTTGCATAATGACCAAAAATACTAGTTACTTTTTATAATTATTCTAATTGTTAATAAATTGTGATATTTGTGGGATGTGTGTTTGCTTGTTTGATTAGAGTTTACTTCACGTCGAACCAACACAGTAAAGATCACATGGCGACTTTCCAGCTTGTCTGATGGAAAATATCGGCTGCCCTACCTGGCATTTTTTAGGCCTGGTACGGACACCTGACTAGAACAATCGACGTTCCGTAAGTTAGCTGGAGGTTATAAGACATAATGTACAATATTAACTAAGTAAACCTATTAAACAATAATGATAATATAAAACCAGTAAAGGGTGTTAAGAAATACAGACACATTTAGTTTAAAATCAAGGCTCAATTAAACAATAAAATCCTATAAAAGATTTGAACGAAATAAGATTCTTTAAAAAATAACAAACAAAAGTAAAAAAAAAAACGAATTATAAAGTAAAACCCTAAGAAATAAAATAAAACACACAATTTACACTGATAATATAGCAAAAGTAGTACATGTTGTTGTTTTATGAAACTAACATCCATAGAACTTTATGAAATGATGTGTTTTGAGAGCTCTCTTAAAACTTGGCAAGGTATTGCAGTCTCTAATGCCAGGTGGTAACGCATTCCATAATTTCGCTGCGGCTGTCTGGAAGCACCTGTCACCATAACGTACTGTCCGAGATTTAGGCCCAAGTAATGTCATTGAGTTATTCTGGAACTTCAGATTCCTGACTGGGATGTACATGTCTATCATGTCTTTTATGTAGGCTAGTGATTGATCGATGAGGATTTATATGTATAAGTCAAAATTTTATATTCAACCCGATACTCTACAGGAAGCCAGTGAAGTTCACGTAAGATGGGTGTTATGTGGTCATATTTGAGTGTTTTGGTCACAATTCTAGCTGCTGTATTTTGAACATATGGTAACTTGGTCATTGACTGTTCAGAGACTCTATATAACAGTGCATTACAGTAGTCTAACCTAGAGGTAACAATAGAATTTACCAGAGATTTGGTCAGATAGGGTCTGATGTGACCAATTTGTCTTAATTGTGCATAACAGTTCCTACAGACATTATTTACCTGTAGTTCAATCCTCATGTTCAAGTCAAGAAATGCACCAAGATTGCGCACACTAAATGATTTGCTAATTTTCGAACCGTCGACTGTTACTTTAACATCTGAAACAGGTTGTGCGTAATGTTCAGATGAAAAGATGATCAACTCTGTTTTGTCGCCGTTTAGCTTCAGCATGTTGGCATTCATCCAACTTTCAATATCATCAAGAGATCTTTCAATACGGTTTATATTCTCTTGAATTGAAATACTAGTCACTGGTTTGAAGGATAGATAGAGTTGTGAGTCATTTGCGAAGAAATGGTTCTTTAGCTCATGTTAACGGCATATTTCTCCGACAGGTTTCGTATACATCACAATACCTCTTGGGTCCCAGGGCAGACCCTTGAGGTACACTGTACTCCATGTTGACTTGCTGTGAAAGTTTGTTGTTTATGCACACAGTCTGGTATTGGTCGGTCAGGTATGACGTCATCTATGCGAGTGGCTTGCCTGTAATTCCAAAGTGTTGTTCAAGGCGGCGAAGGAGCGTTCCGGGATCAATTGTATCAAAAGCAGCAGACAAATCAAGCATCACGAGAAAAGTCACATTGTTATTATCCAAAGACTGTAGAATGTCATTTTGAACTTTTAACAATGCAGTCTCGGGCGAATGGAACTTACGATAAGCAGATTGTTTGACCTCGTGTAGATTGTTTGAGGTACGTGTGTTTACGAGACTACAACGTGCACCGAGCAAATGCCTAACAGATGTTTCAATAATCGTATTAGTGTAAACATCAAAATAGTAATAGAAAGTAGAAACAGATTATGGGCCCAATATTGTTAAAACCAAATATATAGTTATCAATTAAGAACAACCCAGTAAGTTGACACATCATCGTTAAAGAAAGTTTGATGAAGTTTATACGCGGCTGTAATTAAAAAAATAGGCTTAAGGGTCACTCATTTGCAGACGATAGAAACTATTCAAATTATAACCGGCCGACAATAGTGAAGCACATGCTTATTGGTTTTTGTTTTTTTCATTTTTGTTTTTTCCACTACAATCATCATGTAATCCCTCGGAAGGATTTAGAACTGTCCATCCAGAAACTAGACGTGACATCTTAAGACATTTATACATTTAGACCCCCCGCGAGATATTGATTTAGACCCTCAGCGAGATATTGTTTTAGACCCTCCGCGAGTGATTGCTGAACAAATACGAACAACAGTAATGACTTTTAAAACTACTAATACAATTTAAAATACGATATAACACAACCGGTAAAACTAAGTTAAATATGGGCACTAGTTATCAATCAAACATATGTCGACATAATGTAAAGCAACAGGTCAGTTTCGATTCAGAACATGAACTTGTTCAAACAGTTTTGGGTTATGTTTTACATTTTAATCTTATCAATATGCAAATTTCATAGCTTTGAATCTTCTGAAATTTTTATCAAGTGTTTTTGTTTTTGGAACGCTTGCTAAGCTGTTGGAAAGAATATGCAAAAGGTTCAATAACATTCCTTTAACTTTGGCACAATGCTCTAATATGAGGTCAGCTATATATTAAATACATATTAAATCATTTGAATAAGGCAATGCTTAGTTTTGTTTTAAGTTACATGCCCTTAAAATTAACTTAACTATCAAACAGATTATTATTAAAGGGGCAACTATTAAAATTATGAAAAATATTTTGACGGCAATGTTGAATTTGAAAAACATGATCTAAGGCTTGAATATCTATTATGATTATTATAAATCGGTGCTTCTTCATACAGTTTTGTAACGACAGCAACAGCTGAACAAACTATAACATTCTGAAAATTTTAAGATTGCGGCCATCTTGGATTTTGGCACCCATGTTGGATTTGTAGAACCTTCATCCGAATCTTGATTTTAAATAAATGTGTAATATATTAAAGTGGTGCTATTTCATACTGACATGTAATGACTACAGCTGAAAAAACTAAAGTATTCTCAAAATTTTGATATTCTGAATTTTTTAAGACGGCGGCCATCTCGGACTTTGGCAGCCATGTTAGATTTTTAGAACCTTCATCCGAGGCTTAAGTTTAAATAAATGTGTAATATATTAATGTGGTCCTATTACATACTGACCTGTAATGACTTAAGCTGAAAACTTTAATAGTATCAAAACATTTATATATGGCGATCAACTTGGATTTTTGCAGCCATCTTGGATGTGCACAACCTGCATCCGAGACTTGAATATACATTTATGTGTAACATAATTTTATACTGCTGTAATTATAGCTACAGCTGAAAGACTTAAACACTCTGAAAAATTTAGTGTATTGCGGATTTGGGCGGCCTTATTGGATTCGCACAACCCGAATCCTAGGCTTAAATCAAGATGATAATATAAACAAACAATTGTGTTAAGTTTTATGATCTTCACAAGAGGTGCATAATTCACCCAATTTGAAGCACGGATGTCTTGGACTCATAGCCGGTTGTCTGTCATAATAAATACAAGTACACGTATATCTAAGAAAGTCGGACAATACAAATACAATCGGCGGTATATTTGTTGACAAAGTTTTCCTGGTAAAACATGAATGATTCTACAGAGGATTTTGATTTAAACCAACGCTTAAAAACATTAAAAAAAAACTTCAAAAGAAGTGACATTGGAATTAAAAGCAGAATCCGGGAAAGTGGAACGCAATATTCGATCGAGAAAAAAGATCGTTCAACACAAGTCGAATATGCCAAAATTGTCGATAGATATGTCCAGGTTGGACACAAGAAACACCACAACATTGCATAACACATGAACTTGGAACATATTGTACTACAGACGTTATCGGCAATTTTGCAAGAAAGTGAGCAAATTGGTGGCAAATACATCATTGTTGAAATTGACGAAAGCAAATTTGCCAAAGTACAATGTATGAGATCGTGTTAAAGGTTGGGTGCTTGGCGGTAGAGAAAAAGACAACAGGAAGAAAGTATAAATGGTGCTAGTTGAAGAACATACAGCTGATACATTGATTAGCCTTATACGTAGATGGATTGAACCTAGGTCAATGATATGGTCAGATTGTTGGAAAAGTTACAATATAATTCCCAATTTGCCTAAAGGATGCAAACACGCAACAGTTAATTACAGCCAACACTTTGTTGATCCGGAAAAAGGAACATGTACAAACAGGAAAAAGAGAGCTATTGGTGACATGCTTAAGCAGATTTTCCAAGATTCGGGACCAAATCGAACATTATCAGGGGTACCTTGCAGTAATTATGTGAAAAAGAAAGCACTGTGGTGATGATTTGTTTATAGAACTAATTAAGGACAAGTGAAAGTGTACCCTTGGCCAAGCACTGTGGCCCATTCAAAGTAATACAGCAGACTACAATTTTAACAGTTTAAAACTTTTAAAGTGCTTATAAAAATAAAAAATACAATAGTTTAATATAGACTGAACTCTTTTACAGGTAT